CCCTGGTCCTTTTTGAAGCCGTTGGGGGGGCCTTGAGAAGTGATCAACGGCGACCCTTTGGAATTGCTATAGAATCCGAGCCTTTCCCCGCTTCGCTGAGAGGCGTCGGGCCATATGGAGGCACTCTGCGTTCGGGGGATGCCTTTCCGGCCCTCACAAGTGCCCATAATGACCGAGGAGTCGGCGCACTGCGCGTCGATCGTGGTGCGCCGAGTGTTCCGGCGAAGGTAATACGCATTGGCGGAATCGGTGTTGAAAAACATCCGAGGCGGTTTGCTCCAATCGTCCAATCGCTCTCCCCAGTTAATAGGTTGATCGCGAGGAGTCTACCACGTAGTCAAATCGAGTCGATATCCGATTTCAGTAGATTAGTTGATGCGTATAACTAAACAAATAAGAGACGAATGTAAAATAAAATAATAACAAAAAAAAATCTTAGAATACACAATAATATATTCTTCGTAGTCTAGCTCCTCCCTATTGTGATGTTGTATGAATTTGTGATAGGAACAGGGAAGAGGATACGAAATATATTGTGTTGCCAAACGCTGATTCAAAAGCTAATAAGCTCTTCTCAGCGCTAAATATGTGATGTGTTTCAGAATGAGCACGGTAAAGGCTAGAATGATGTGCTCATTACGGCTTGTTTGTATATTAAAACTAGTGGAAAATCACGAAAAGAGGATCAAGCTTTGTTGAAATTTGAAGAAATTATTCTAGAAAAGTTTATTTTAAATTACAGCTACGCTTTCATGATTCAAAAGCGTTTGACATAATAATTATTAAATTTACCATTGATAATTATCCAAATTCGTGGACCTTGAGAGAGTAAAAGATGCATAAATAGAATAATAGCTATAATGCACAAACAAACAACAGGAGATTTCAAGTAACCCCAACTTCCTACTTGGAACCACATTCAAAGCTCTGACCCACAAATTCTGGATGATGCCATCCGACGTCCTTATTGAGCATCATCTGAAGGTTGAGCGGCCCGGCGTTCAGCATTTATGCGCCTTCGCCGAAGAAATTGCATGCTTTTCTGCCAAACCGCACTGATTAAAGGAACGTACCGCTGAAAGCCCTCGCGAGCCATTGCGAAACCCACATCGCTTTTGCCAAGCCAAAAGTGCCGTTTTGCCTCTAAGCGTAGTATCGGATCGTCCGGCAAGGGCGCGCTGAGGTCCACCGCATGGGTTGCCATCTTCCCGCGCGCCAGGACGCCCCGCAGGAGATCTTCCGCCGGGTACAACGTCGAGGAAGTCGGATCCAGGGCCGCCAAAAGCCCCCCAATGGCCGTCTCCCTCCCCTCCAGCCGCACCCCCGTCAGGAGAATGTACACGGGTGACTTGCTGGGGTGGATGGTTTCGAGAATCTTCAGATTATCGGGTGGCGAGTTCGATAAAAGGCGGGAGGAACCGGCTTGGGAAAGACACAGCGCGTGCAAGAGGATATGCTCGAGAAGGTACAACATAATAAAAAAGCTCGCGCACTGCGGCGCGCCGTAAACCAACATAATCCCGCCCCTGCCATCCCTCGCCACATAATCCAGCGCCAGACGGAGCTGCGGGACGAAGAGGGTGAACCACGGCAGAATCGCCTCGGGGGGCGGCGCGGGCGCCATCGATGGGGCCTCCGCCCCCCCTTCCTCCCCGACCCCGGGCGAGTCCCCCTCCCTCCGCCGCCTCTGGGCCCGCGGCTCCGCCCCCTCCTCCTCGTCCCGGCGCCGCGCCACGCGCTGGCCGTAGTCCTGCACGGCGCCGCCGTTCACGAAGGCGAACCGCCCCACCATCAGCCCCTCCACCTCCGAAGCGGAGGA